CCTGGGAGGGCCAGTGTGGCTGAGCAGGACTTCACAGAAAAGGGCTCAATACCGCTGAAAGTCTCCTTCCAGAGTTGGAGTTTGGGGCACTGCTCCAAATCACCCCCCACCACACAAACCCCACTCATAGAGAAGGATGTGAATTGAAGCCAGCCCCATCGACATCCCATTTCCCGTGAGGCAGCTGCCTGGGTGGGCAGGGAAGTGTGGGAACAAGACTCAGCCCCCATAAGCAACAGAGCCAGAGGTTTCCCTCTCTCCTCCACCCCTATCAAACCCGCAAGACTCACCGGAGGGTGCATGGCGTCTGGGCAGGAGGCCTCCCAGGCTGTAGGCAGAGGGCTCTGAAGTTCCCGGCACTTGGGGAGCTCTGATGTTGGGGTTGGGACTGCTGAGTTCTCCACGATGCACGGATAGGCGAGGCAGCCCTGGCCTGTGTGTGGGAAGCTAAAACAGAAATTTCTGAGTTGGGCTGGTGGTGGGGGCAGGTGGTGAGTACATGTGGGAAGGGGTTGTGGTAAGGTGGAGACTCTGGAGCCTAATCTCATTAGCACTTTCTCCCTCAGTCAGCCCCATGCCAGGAGGCAGAGCTCAGCCAGGGAAAACACTGGGGATACTGAGATAGCCCGGGCTCCCTTCCAGGTGGTTCGGACAACAGCTAAGTAAGGAGGAGTCAGGAAGTTGATGAACCTAGATGCCCCAGGTTTGTGGCCCACACTTTAGGGGATCACCCCAACCACACCAGCTGCTGACCCTGCCTTCCATCCCAGCTCCTCTCTGGGGGAGGAGGCACGACCCCTGCAGAGTGTCCGGAGGTATGTCCGTCACACACCAAGTGCTCCCTTTAACGTGTGCCCTTACAACAAAGACCCTTATTGGGCATTCTAGTGTCCCTGGGCTCCCGATGACAACCCTCGAGCAAGGGATAGAGGGGACATGGCTAAACAGGTGTGTGCTGGAAGAGAGGAGGTATGGTGGGAGACAGAGGAGGAGGAGGATAAACAGGGAGAGGAGAGTGAGAAGGGCCTACTCACTTGGGCCCTTGGGACCTCATCTCTATTTGGGTCATTATCTTCTCTGATCACAACCTGGGACTCCCTGGTCTTTCTTCCTGCAGGTTTCTTCCCAGGGCTGCTGTGCTTAGGCTTTTGTCGTTTCTTGGAGATCCCCTGGGGCGGCACACCAGACAAGGGCTGGGAGGTGGCCGGCTCCGGGGGAGCGGCTGAGAGTCTCTCTCCGCAGGCAGGAAAGGATCTCCCCAGGGCCAGCTGAGAGGCACCCCCTTGGGACTTCTTCTCCTGGGCCATCTTCCTCCTTGAAGGGCCCCGGGGCACGGCCCCTGCAGTGGCAGCTCTTGAGCAGCTGGGCCTGTCCTCCACCTTTCCCCAGGCCCTGCTCTGCATTTTCTTTCCGGGAGAGTCCTCCAGCTCTCCCACAGCCGGCCTCTCCATGACTGGAGTGAGTCCGCGGGGAGCAGAGGTCAGGAAACGGCCCGGCACGGGCAGGTAACTTTCCTTGCAGTGGAAGCCTGCGTGTCTGGATGTGTCTGCTGGCTTCTTGGGGCTGCCGGGCTTGGCCTGGCTTCCTTCGTTGCGGCGAATGCCCACCCTCATCAGTGGTAAGTCACTGGTCTCATCTGCGGAATCAGAGTCGTGGGTAGACATCCTGGTGGGGCCTTTTGCAGAAGGCTGCTGGGGATCCACTTGGACGCTCAATCTGCTCTTCGAGCCCCTTTCTGGGTTCTTCCAGGCCCGGCCTGACCCAGGACCACAGAGGTGGAGACGACTGGCAGAGGCCTGCTGCCATTCTCCAGGGCTGGGGCCCAGTGCGCCACTCCCACTGGGATCGACCTCCGGGTCCACCCGGTTTTCAGCAGACCCTTCAGTAGTGGCGCCTTCAGGGAACGGGTGTCCCTGGACGCTGGACGGCGGCATGATGGTGGCTGGCTCATCAGCCAGGTAGAAAGAGTAGTCCACACCATCCCCTTGGTCATCGACGGGGGTGCCAGGCCGGCCTTCCCGGCCCCAGAGCACCACCCTTCCTTGCTCTATCAATTCGCTCTCAGGCTCGAAGCTGAAGCCCTCAGGATCTGTGAACCTGCTCTGGCCCTTGCCGCTGCGCGGTGCCCCCAAATGGAGGCCTCGGCCACGGCCGTGGCCCCGTGGGGCTCTGCGGCTGACTGTGCGGGTGCCAGCCTGCTCGCCACCCTCCAGGTCGAAACCGGCCCCCCAAACGGACACCTCGTCGGGAGAGCTCATGGCGCCAGTTCAGGCAGCCTGGCCTATGGGGAGACGGTCGTGCTGGTAATGGCGGGAGGGGAGAGCCAAGCCCAGCCAAGCAGGCCACGGGACAGAAACAGCGACGCCTTCGGGATCCTGCTGCCCTCACAGCAGGCGGAAGTACTAAGTGTCCCAGACAGCGCGTGGCTTCCGCGCCTTCGACCCAGGTGTCGAGCCTTCTCATTGGTCCCCCCTCCACCAACCAGCGCACCCTTTGTTGGGCGAAGCCTCTGGGCTTTAACCAATCGGGACACAGGCTCTCGGTTTGCCCCAACACCCGTTTTTCGGGTGGATGAGCTGTGGTCGGGTCTTGGAGCCAGGGTGCACTGGACCTCTCAATCCATCTCTTTTTTGCTGTTTTGCTCCCTCCCTACTTTTTAATGATAGCTCCTCTGTGTGCCTGGTGCTTCTCGTGCATCAGGACATTTATTCTCCCAAGCTTATGAGCTGGGGGCAGCTCTCCCCTTGACCTCCGCCTTACAATGGGACACTGGGGCTCAGAGATGTGACTGTCATTGGAAAGTAGGTGCCTGGCCAGAGGCAGCAGGACAGGAAGAAAGAGGTGGATCGAGAGCTCCAGTGGGCCCTGGCCCCAAGACCCGACCCAAGTACACCCACCCAGTCAAATGACGGGTGTTGCGGCAATCCAAGAGTCTGCTTCCTGATTGGGTAGAGCCCGGAAGCCTTGTCCAACAAGGGGCACGCTGGTTGGTGGTGGGCAGACCAATGAGAAGGCGTGGAACAATGAGAAGGCAGGACGCAGGCCTTGAGGGAGCCCGTAAGCCTCGCCCTGCCAGTGACATCTCGTGAGCCGACTGTGGTGAGGGTGGCGGTGTCCCAAAGGCCTCGCTGTTCCTGTGGCCCCAGAACACCACCCTTTGCTGCTCTTTCAATTCACTCTCAGGCTCAAAGCTGAGCGTGTCCCCCTCGGCTGGGCTTGGCTGGGCTCAGCTCTCCTGTCCCACTGTTACCAGGACGACCGTCTCCCCACAGCCTGGGCTATCTGGACTGGCGGGCGCCATGAGCTCCACAGATGAAGTGTCCGTTTGCGGGGCTGGTTTCGGCCCGGAGGGTGGCAAGCAGGCCAGGGCCCACACCGCCAGCCCCAGAGCCCCACAGGGCCACAGCCACGGCCGAGGCCTCGATTTGGGGGGGCAGCGCAGTGGTGAGGGCAAGGGGGAGAGCGGGTTCACAGATCCTGAGGGCTTCAGTTTCGAGCCTGAGAGCGACTTGATAGAGCAGGGAAGGGTGGTACTCTGGGGCCGGGAAGGCCGGCGTGGTACCCCGGTCGACGACCAAGGGGACGGTGTGGACTACTCTTTCTGCCTGGCTGATGAGTCAGCCACCATCATGCCGCCGTCCAGCGTCCAGGGACACCCGTCCCCAGAAGGCGCCGCTGCCAGAGGGTCCACTGACATCTGGGCGGACCTGGAGGTTGGTCCCAGTGGGAGAGGTGTGCTGAACCCCTGCCCTGGAGAATGGCAGCAGTCCTCTGGTGGCCCTCTCCACCTCAGTGTTCCTGGGCCGGGACCGGCCTGGGAGAAGCCAGAAAGGGGCTTGAAGAGCAGATTGAGCGTCCAAGTGGATCCCCAGCAGCCCTCTGCGGAAGGCCCCGCCGGGCTGAGTAGTGACGACTCTGATTCCACAGATGAGAGCAGCGACTTACCGGTGATTAGGGTGATCATTAGCACCAAAGAAGGAAGCCAGGCCAAGCCTGGAAGCCCCAAGAAGCCAGCAGACACTTGCAGACGCCCCAGTTTCCACCGCAGGGAGAGTTACCTTCAGGATCAGGGACCTCTCCTGACCTCTCCTCCCCACAGACTCACCCCAGTAGTAGAGAGGCCGGCCATGGGAGAGCTGGATGCGCATTCCTTGAAGAAAATGCAGAGCATGGTGTGGGGAAAGGTGGGGGTCAGGCCCAGCTGCTCAGGAGCTGCCGTTAGAGGGCCCCTATCCCGGGGCCCTCTGGGAAGGAAGGTGACCCAGGAGAAGAAATCCCTAG